ATGTGTATTTGAACTTATGGACACCTTCACCTCATAATGGGTGCACCACCAAACCGCGCCCTAAGTAAATTATCCAAACAATATGGACCGATCATACATTTGAAGCTCGGTAAAGTTTCCTCCATTGTCATATCGTCACGTGAAATAGCCAAAAAAGTACTCACGGTAAATGATCTTGCTATTGCAGACAGACTTGAAAGTATAGGGATGTAAACATTATGGTATGACTATAAGGATCTTGCCTTTAGTTCATATAATGAGCACTGGAAGCAAATACATAAATATGCATTCTGGAGATCTTGAGCAACAAAAATGTTCGGTCATACGGTCATATAAGGCATGACGAGATCTCTAAGCTTATTAGATCTATTCGATCACATGGAGAACCATTCAACGTGACTGACATGTTATTATCATATACAAGTTCAGTCACAGCTAGAGCAGCTTTCGGTGGGATCTTGAAAGAGCAAGACACTTTGATAAATTTCATGAAGATAGGAGTAGCCTTGGCTGGGGGATTCTAATTGGCCGATTTGTACCCATCATTAAAGTTCTTTCAAATTTTCAGTTGGAATAAACATCAACTGTTGAAGATGCGTCGTAAGCTCCACTCAATTCTTGATGTCATGCTCAATGAGCATAAACATAAGTTAACTAGAGAGAAAAGAGACAATGGGGAGTTGGTATGTGAAAACATAGTAGATGTTCTCCTCCGAAAGCAACAAAGTGAGGATCTTGATGTTCCAATAACCGATGATGACGTCAGAGCATAATCTTCGTAAGTCCTTTATCCATAAATTACATTGCGTACTTTTTCTTAACCATTATATTGTTGATTTTGTTTCAGCTTCAATAAGTATGTTGGTGTAATTGCAGGATATGTTTACGGCCGGAACTGAAACTTCAACCACAACATTCGATTGGGCGATGACAGAATTGATGAGAAATACCCGAGTGATGGCAAAGGCGCAAGCTGAAATAAGAGAAGCCTTTAAAGGAAAGAAGACAATCGAGGAAAGTGATATTCAAAACCTAAAATATCTGAAGTTGATAATCAAGGTAAACTTTGGGGTACATCCCGCTGTCACTTTACTCCCAAGAGCATGCAGGGAAGAATGTGAAGTCGATGGGTATACCATACCCTCCAAAGCAAAGGTTGCTGTGAACATCTGGGCTTTGAGAAGAGATCCAGAATATTGGGAAGAACCAGAAATCTTTAAACCCGAGAGATTCGAGAACAGTTCTGTTGATTTCTTGGGAAATAACTTCGAATATATTCCATTTGGATCAGGAAGGAGGTTTTGTCCGGGCATGAACTTTGGAATTGCAAATATTCACGTGCCTTTAGCTCAACTTCTTTATCACTTTGACTGGAAACTTCCTCATGGAATGAACCATAGTGATCTAGACGTTAGTGAGATACCTGGAGTAAGTGTGCAGAGAAAAAATAACCTTTATTTGATCGCTACACCATACAACCCATCAATTGAAGGTTAATTTATCCAAGGTTAGAGGGCAGTTCTTATTGCCAAATAAGCTACACTGCCTGGATCATTTGCTGTTTTTAATATTTGTAATCTTTATATATATAATCATCATCTTATCGTTAAAAATTACCGTGCTTCAGAAGTACCATTTATATTGTGCCTTGCCGGATAAATTTCAATTTGGGCTTTTGCTTGATGTATAGTAGGCTTCTTCACATGAGCCTACTAGAACACACATGGGGGGGGGGAGGGCAGTTCTTATTGCCAAATAAGCTAAACTGCCTGGATCATTTGCTGTTTTTAATATTTGTAATCTTTATATATATAATCATCATCTTATCGTTAAAAATTCCCGTGCTTCAGAAGTACCATTTATATTGTGCCTCGCCGGATAAATTTCAATTTGGGCTTTTGCTTGATGTATAGTAGGCTTCTTCACATGAGCCTACTAGAACACACACAGGGGGGGGGGGGGGGGGGGGTTCCTTTCTGGCAATTTTTTTTTCCCCG